AATCAATACACTATGGATACTTCATGCTATTCTGCTGATTAAAACTGATGCTGAACTTTGTGTTTGTCTGTTGTAAGCATACAGCACTTACTATGATAGCATGTCCCTGTTATAAATAATGGAGAACTAAGGACATTGGGAGAAGGTAATGACCAGACTAGTAAAGATTTTGAGGACATAGTAGAAGAGAGAGCATTGTATTCACAGCACTTTTTAGAAAAGTTGGGGTGTCTACCTCACATTATTTTAAAAGAAATTGGGTGTCAAGAAGCACATCAATTCTAAGTGCCTCGGAAACTGTCAACTAGAATGCCTAGGACGTACCAAAGCATTAAAGAACTAATCTATCTTTCCTAAGCTCCAGAAGATAAGAGCAATCACTGGGCTGTTTTTATCTTTAGTGGTTAAGATGGATTCTTCCAGTCCAAGTATCATGATTTCTTCACTCAGATTGCTAAAGTGAAATGGGCAGCCTGATCTACTGTTCAACTCCCAGTTCCTTGTTTTTGATTTTAGCTCAAGCACGTGAGTCTTAATAACATTACCTTGTGTTCGGACAGGATCTGACATCGGGCTGGGATCACTCAGACCTTGGGCATTGATGGCTCTCACCATGAACAGGTAGATGGTATTGGGGCGCAGTCCTCTCACAGTGTAGAGAGTGGTCTTGACGTGGTTAGCCACTGTTTGCCAGCTATTGCTCACAGATTGACTGCAAGGAGAAGAGTTGAGGGTTAGATTGATGCAAGAGAAATAGTGAAGTGAAGGCTTTACTGCTGTAACACTCTATCAAGGCTAACTATAAGGAAAAGTAACAAAAGCAGGATGAAACTAAAAGGTTTTGTTAGTTTGAGTTAATTCATCAAAGGGGAAGAAAAAAATAATAGAGAGGTCAAAGGTATTTCTGCTTTAAGCAGACGAAAAAACTTTTGCTAATAAATTGTATCCCACTAAAATAAATGCCTACAAAAGGAAAAAGTGTGGGAAGTACAAAAATAAAATTGAATGATAAACTGACCACTCTTGAACATAAGTCTTTGAAAATAATTAATCCATGAAAAGAATAATTTTCTATACTGTTGTGTAAATTATGTCAATAAATTGTCTTGTTGGAGGAACAGTATTCTCCTTGAAGTAAAACCATACTCAAAATCAGAAAAGAACCTTCTGAAAACATGCTTATAAATGAGAGAAAGTATATGAATATTTTTCTGTTGATAAATATTCATTTGGACAGTTATTTTATAATGAGATTACTACCCGATGTATGAAGAGAGTTCAACTGTGATTGTCAAAATAGCTTTTAATTGAGATGCATGGCTTTTGTTAAAGTCATTGATGGGATACCATTGAAGTTTATTTAAGGTCAAATATCACAAAAGGTTAAAGAGAAAATTTGATTTTATTGTGGTTTATTGAATAGTATTTATAAAAAAATCTTTACATGTATTAACTGAGAAAATAGAAAGCTACTGGTTGCATTTTTTTCAATCTTTTCATTCATTTAATGTATAACGGAGAGCACGAGTTCCGAAACAAAACTACTAATCTGGCAACACAGTAAGGTTCCCTGCATATTAACACAGAAGGGTGAAGTGTCATCACTATAGGATTTTAAATTTACATACATATGGTTTCTATAAATTCTCACTTGATTTCTAATTAGAAAAAAAAACCATATTCTTTGTCATTTGTTGAAAAAAATGATCAGGAGATTACACTTAAGACTGTATGCATCTTTAAGCACCAGAGTATATCATTAATATGTGCCAGAGGTACATATTAAATAGACTTAAACAGGCTGCATGGGCTTTGCATGGCTGCAAAGTTCTTTCCCAGTGCATATTAACTGCTGCAGGGTGGGATGGATCAGCTGGACTCTTATCAACCTCATCGTGGAGGTTTAAATACTGAATTACCTAACACAGCCTTACTCTGTTTTATTTAGTTTTAGTTTTATTTTATTTTAGTTTTAGTTTTATTTAGTTTTTATTTATTTTAGTTTTATATTTAGTTTTATTCCATCCAAAACAACAAGAGACAAACAAATGTTTTAGACCTCTAATAGGTGCGGCTTTAACAAGTCTGGCATGCAGAGAGGCTTCAGGATTGCCCATGTGTGTTTAGATTGCTTTGCACTAGACTAAGCAAAATAACGCTGGCCCAAATTGTTTGAACTGCAGCATTCCTAGTGGAGACGCTCACTGATCATCACGATTAAGGAAAAAGTAACAAATAATGAGTGCTGTTATGTTCCTGTTGACCTGAAAAATAATAGGGAGGTTCCTGTCTTACTTAGAACTTCCACTTAGAAACTTTCCACTTAGAAACAAGTAATTTTAAAAAAATAAGAATAAATACCAATTTATCTCTTCTACAGAAGTTAAAGTTTTTAATATGCTTGTGATACATCCATAGAGTCTAAAAAACCACCGCAACACCAGGAGGACAGCAGATACTAGTTTTAGAACAAAATTACAGCAGGGAGATTTGCAGCGGAATAATTCACATACCTAAAGGCCTCAATGATATAAGCACTAGCTGGTAGGCTTCCAGGGGTGCCGGGTTGCCAGGACAGGGTGACACTGTTCTTAGTAACATCAGTGACCTGAGGTTTAGATGGTGGCCCAGGGAGGTCATTTATGTCATAATTTTTGCTGACAGTGGCTCCACCAGACTCTGTAAGGGGCAAATATGAAATAATTACTTTTTATCCTTGATTTTGTAAGTCTAATCAAACTACAAAAATAAAAGGTAAAAATATGCCAAACACTTGCGAAGTAAGCATAAGCAATGTTCTCAATGTGTAAAGAACTGAGTCAGCAATTTCATTACCAGCTATGTTTTAGGATGAGAGCTATCATTCTTTCAGTGCATCCTGAAAGAAAACACCCACAACATGTAAATCAAAAAAACCCCTTAAACTAAAAAAAGGATAAGGAAAATACAGTAATAAAAAAACTATCATCGTCTGCTGAAATGTATGTAAAATACCAAAACCTTGCCTCCTAGAAGGCAGAGGAGGTTCCTGCATCCAAACTGGTTCCTGTACTCACGGGGAGCACGCTGGACTTTGATGGGTCTCTGACAGCTTTTCTGCTGTGGGACAACTACAGGATGAGTGCCCAGTTTATCAGTCCCGCCACTCAGAAGAGTGACGGCGCACCCGCGTTGCCAAAGGCAAGCACTAGCAGTTACACCCTCCGTGGGCACTTGCAGATAACAACAGAGACCTAAGGCACATGAAGCCAGGCCGCCGAAAGCCTCCCCCTGCTCAGTCCCAGACCGCTCCTCTGTAGCCGACAGTGTCACCGGGGTGCTGCTTACCTGTCACCTCCAGCACCGCACTCCAAGATGTCTCCCCACTTGAGCTTGTGGCAACACACGTGTAAGTCCCAGTATCGGACAGCTGGATATAAAAGAACAGTTAAGGGCAGATTGAATGACCATTTAGCATGAGCTGACAGGGTTTGCTCTATTGTTTTTTTCCTGTAAGTGCTCCTTGCTAAGAAGGACTTAGCCTACATTTTACACCAGACTAGAGAGTGCCAGACATTTTCAAGCAATCATTTAATGGTGGCTTACTTGTAGGCAACTATAATAAGATTACTTTCTTCTGAGAGTTTCCTTTTTGTAATTCTGATTTTTGTACTGTTAATGGTACCAGCAGAGCCTGTGAGTGCTACCAAATGGAGGTTTGAAACACTGTCAATCTTTATATAGGTTACAAGAAGTCCAGGTGAAATCTGGTACTGATGTAATAACAACCACTCTCAGAGGATAAGGCCTCACAGTTCAAAATCCCATGACCACCCAGAGATACAATCTGCAGCCTCATGAAGGTTGTTCCATCATCTTATCCTTTTATGACAGACCAAGTCACTCCTAAAAAGGCCGCTCCACACAAAGGTTGGTGCTGAGACTACAGTGGTTCTCGCTATGCAGCTGTGCAAGCCATTTTTGTAATGGCAAAGTTGCATCAGAGCTGGCATAAAGTTTCCCTTCCTTCTGTTTCATACAGGATTCTGTGAGCACACTTCTTATCACCCTTACATGCGATTTTATTTCAGGCTTGCAAGGCATTTGGGGGGCAAAACAGTGGGATTTGTAAAAAACTGCTGCTATTCTGTTGTCTATTCATGTATTGCAAAACTATTTGGGGAAATGGTTTGGATTATATCATCAATATTAATCACATTTCTGCATAAACTGTTGCTGCACTGGCAGATTTAACAAGTGTTTTACTATTCCTCACTTCATTTTACAGTAAAGACTTCTGTGATAGGAGCAGGATTTTTGGGCAAAGACTACTGGGATGCATAGAAAACAGTAATTTTATAAAACACAAAGAAGTCCTCCAACCTCTATGCATAAAGCACAGTAATCAGGAGATGTAATAAGAAGCGGGAGAGTGCTGACTCTTGTGGTAAAGTAGAAGAAATATATTCACAATCAGACGACTTGATGGAAATAGGACTGCATCCAAGAAGGTTTATTGGACTTTAAGGGATTGTAATGGGTATTTGCTAAATGCAGGTTGGAACTGTAACAAATGTGCTTATACCTGACTCTTCAAGAAGACTGTCAAGGTAAATAAGTGAGTTGCTCTTTAAGTTACTTCTTGATATATAATTTAATTGATTTTTAACTTTGTCATGTTTTAAATTTGTTGGTATTTTCTGCTTCAGCTACAGTAGGACTGCGGTAGGATGCCTAGGGGCAGGAAGCAAGTGATTAATGCCAGTGTAATTGTACCAACCTGCCTTCTAGGATAAGCATTTACCATGAAATAGGAGGAATATTAAACTCTTCCGACAAGGCTCAGACACTCCAAATATAGAGATACCACTAATGAAATGGGAAAGACTCTTGAAAGGAGAAAGAAGAGGAGGGGGCCTTATAGCACTCTGAAGATATTTTATTCTGCTTCTTCTGAGCTTTTGTTAAAAATATTTAACTCCTCATTATGTGCTGATGGAACATATTTCTCAAAGCTACAGTGCACAACTTCAGTGACGTCCAGCAGGCAAACTCATTGTGTAGAGTAAGCCAGATGCAGCCAGTACGCTGCATCTTGCAAGTTATGGTGAATTAGCAAACTATGGATGGACTAGTCACAAACACGGCATAGTGATAATTCAGCTATTTATACATTTTTGCATCATGAAAAAAAAGAAGAAGAAAAACTGGAAGAATTAATAGAAATCTTTGCTATTTGGTATCATAAACCCTCTTCTGCCGCAGTTAGTGCAGGTGTCTAAATCTGGTGTGGTACAATTCCACAGAGCAGCAGGAAGTTTTTTTTCCTCAGTGTTGATCTATCTAAAAGGTACAGATGAAGGAGTGACATATGGGAGATATTAGCTTTCTTCCTCAGAGCAATCTGGAAGATTGGCTCATATGAAAAATCTCTAGGTTCATGTTCATGACTGCTGCCCAGGATTCACTGTGACTGCTGCAGACTCCTAAATAATTTCATTTACACTCAGAGACTGGTTGGATAGCACAGGCAGTTGGGCTCAGGGACTAAGATGGTGGTGGCCCATGCTTACCTACATCTTGAAATCTTTTATAACAGAGATTAACAATTGCAAAGGGAGAAGAAGGTTGATGAGTTGAGGTGTTAGGGGATAACCTGCTTTAAACTTCAGTATATATGTAATGTTAGACTTGGGCATATTTTCTGGACGTTTTCTTTTGCTTAGGAAGTGTTGACAATTCTTGCTGGAGTACATCTGAAGAAGAGTTAACCATTCCAGACCAGATTTAAATATATATTTAATTCCTCAAAATTTCAAAAGCAGAAAAATCTGCTGCTTTTCATGGTGTGGTTCCTTTTTTATCGGTGAGTCTGACTCTAACAGGGCACATTACTGCAATCAGGGGGTTTATAAGAAATATCTTTCTGAGCCTTTAAGGAAAATTGGTTACTAGTGAATGAGCCACTTAAGGATCAATAAAAGCTTCATGTCTTTCAAAAGCACACTTACTACTAATACTGTTTTCTTCTCCCTTGCAAGCAGTTTTTTTCTTTGGTTTACAGACCCTGTGCCTCTAACGGAGAGATTAATGCGCGGGCACGAAGCAGAACCTATTTTATTGTTTGCATAGCTGCATGCAGACAGGTATCCCAGGAGCTTTTGCCTCGTGGACACTCCACAGCAGCCCATCATCGATGCTGGAAAGTTTGTTTGAAATCACTAAGCTTCCACCTTTAATTGCTGCTTTCTAACACTACTGGGGAATCTTGACTATTCAAGCGCACTCTTTAATCCAGCTCTACAGGAAAAATGCATTAACCTTCATGGCCTAAACCTGCCTTCAGCCCAGGGAGGAAGGATAAATTGTTTACTCAGGGAAAGCTAGCATAAATTTTTTAATAAATTCCATTTTGTTCCAAGGAAGTTAACAATTCATTTATGATCACCGATGCAATGGTATCAGAAAACAAAACCACTGTTAATGTCTTGTTCTCTATAGCTATGTTTATTGACTTTTTTGGATGACAAGACTAGTGCAGAAATTACTACTGATGAAATTAAATAATTGCTAAAATTGCCTCTATTATTTTTAACAAATAATTATATTTACCTTATTATTATTTCATATACATTCTCAATCACACAAGAAAAACTAGATATGCAGACATGGGTACGGATATGGACACATACACATCCATTTCTACCTTTAAACAGGTAAAAAAATTAAAAACCCCAAGATTGATATTGGTGATACAATGTTTACCAGAAAAGTCCAGCATTGTATTACCTAGAATTTTACAAGATTTCTCTGTACTTTAAAGATATCACTGCATTATCTCAAGGGACTAAACGTAAAACATATGATAGGTATTGCCTTTTGAACAGAAATCCCTCTGCATACAACTGCATGTATATTATGGCATTAGTTTCCTTTCATTTGCATGCCTTTGAGACGGAAACATCTCCAGGAAGCATAACAGGAATAGATCAGCCATCAGAAGGCTGCCCTGACTCACTGATGGAGAAGGCGCATGGCCAAAGTCCCAGTGAACTCCAGAACTTGTTTTTAATATACCACTTCCTTGGAACTGCTCTATGCTTTTTTTTTTTTTTAAAGAGCACACTACATTCATTCTGCAGGCAGTGGACAGGCAGACAGTAGATACTGGCCATCTCCTATTTGTAGCAGTTGCTTTTGTGTCACTACTTACCCGCAAGGTTTTAATCTGGAGGGTTCCCTGATCCTGTATGGATGTTCTAGGGTCTCTGCCCAGGAAGGTGAATCCTTCTTTCAACCAGCTAATGACAGGAAGCGGGTCGCCAGTCGCCTTGCACTTGAGCAGGGCTGTCCCATCCACGGCCAGCGTCTGATTGACGGGTCCCTGGAGGATGATGGGTGGAGGCCTGTCTGTCAAAACTAGAGAGCAACACAGCAACTGTTGGCATCCTGTGAGAGTCTGGTGCTCTAGCTAGCCCTTTGACAGGGTAACACGTTTACATTCGTTATAAAAGCTAAAAACACTGTTTTTGTGAGATGCACACATACCTCTAAGCAATTAACTGCTCAAATTGAAAACTGCTTTTATAAGAATTTTGCTTCATTGCAGTGAGATAAGAGCTAGCTAAATAAATGTCCTTTATTAAGGATCTTCAGACTAATTTGATTAAGACTAGACAAAAAATTAAAATGTAAATTCCAAAAAGAAGCTGAGATAGATACACTTATTTATTTATTTATTTATTTATTTTGTCCACTCCAGGAATGTATTTAAAGCACATACTCAAATGCTAGATCAAAATATGCCTAATTGCTTACCTGTTTCAGGGCCTGAAAGTCTGTAAAAGCTCAAAGTGAAATACTGTAGCCATTTTAGCAGGGGTAACAACCACATTCCCCATGCACTCCATTTGCAAGTACTCATCAACAAAAAATATCTAACAATAATACATTTTTGTAATTTTGAGGGATCCAAATGACAGTACC